GGGCTGATGGGAAATTATGCTAAATTATACCAAATGTTAAATTTAATGGTTGTTTAATAAGCATCTTTCTCCAACCTAAAATAAAGCAACACTATTCTCAATACTATTACTGCTGTCTCTTATACACATCTAGATGTGTATAAGAGACAGGTCCGGAAAATTGGCCATTCCAATTCCCCCATTTTCCGAGTCGGGAACATCAGACCTGATACTGTCGACTCTGGCGGCACCACTGGGTATACAGTAATAGTATTGAGAATAGTGTTGCTTTCATTTTATGTGGGAGAAAGGCGCTTATTAAACAACCATTAAATTAAACATTTGGTATAATTTAGCATAATTTCCCATCAGCCCTTGGCATAATCACTGAGATTCAATATTTCAAACTAGATTTGTTCAACGGCATAATTCATACTAATTTAGCTTGGTACAATCGGACAAGAAAGGGCATGGTTATGTGCTGCAATATCACAAAGAATGCTGGTTTGTGCACACCTGTAACACAAATGTTTCTTGAATAGTGTTTTATACAATAAACTATAGTGAAGCTTTAATACGTGATAGGACTACATTACGGAAAAATGCATATTTAAACAGGACTGTAAAGCAAAGGACTCTAGAATAGCCTTAAATTTGAGGTAGAGTATGTTTAACAGTAAGACATAAGCAGAACGATATGTGAAGGGGTATGCTAGTAAATGAGACCCTGGGGAAGTAATACCCCTACCGTATGATGTTTGTTGGTATTTTTAATTAAAGAAATTATGGTTTGTATATGAACTCAATGTATTTTGTAAGTCTGCAGAAGTTGATTAATTTAAGCCTTTGTTACTAATTGGCAACAAGGAATAGAGACCGTGGAAAGTTAGGCCAATAGAGACAAGTCAGTGGAACTGGAACGTGACAAATTAAAGACCAGTTGGAACTGGGACCATTGGAAACAAATTGGAATTGGGGCCAGTTGAAGGACCACTTGAATTGTCCAAAAAGAAACAACACCCACAATTTTTATTTTATTTTAGGATTCTTATAAGAGTCTAATAATATACCTATAGGATTCCTATAAGATTTTAATAATAAACCTATAGCATTCCTATACAATTTAATAGTAAACCTATAGGATTACTATAATATTTTAAAAATAAACCTATAGCATTCCTAAAAAATTTTAATAATAAACCTATAGGATTCCTATATGATTTTAATAATAAACCTATAGGATTCCTATAAGATTCTAATGATATACCAATAGGATTCCTATAAGATTCTAATAAGAAACCTATAGGGTTCCTATAAGATTCTAATGATATACCAATAGGATTCCTATAAAGATTCTAATGATATACATACCAATAGAATTCCTATAATATTCTAATAATATACCTATAGGATTTCTATAAGATTCTAATGATATACTAATAGGGTTCCTATAAGATTTTAATAATAAACGTATAGGATTCCTAAAAGATTCTAATAATAAACCTATAAGAATCCTATACGATTCTAATTTTTTTTACGTCATCAGCATGAGCTAACGTATCAATAATCGCTCTTTGAAAAAACTCGTAATTTGCTATATTTACTAACAACCACTGGTATTTATCAATACAACCTACTTATCAACCTAAAAAGAAGACATGACAACTAGATCGGCCTCTAAATCGAAACGTGGAAACTTGAAATCCACGGAGATTACACCTGAGCCCAGTAGTAGCAGTAATGGCGATTCGATCAAAGACACACCACCTGCTGGTTCACCCAGCATACCACCCTTTCAAGGTACTATTGCTGAAGAACTACCTGACCCATCGGCTCTGCGAGATATTCATCACTTACTCTCAGATGATAAAGAACTGGTAAGCATTGTTGCCTCAACAATAAGCCACCACATATTATCCTCCCCTGAACTTTTAGAGAAAATAGTAAAATCAGTATGTGAAAATGAAGCCGTAATTAAATCAATCAGTGAAACAATAGCTGATAGTGTAACCCAGAGTGTTTACGCCAGTGTTGCCCATGAGAACCAATCTATAGCGGGCGACATCGCCTCTCTACGAGAGCAAATCGACGCGTTAAGGAAAGAAAACCGCTCTATCGTTGACAAATTTGACGACCTAGAACAGTATAGCAGCAGGAGAAATTGTCTTCTGCTACATGGAGTACCCGAATCAGCCAATGAAAATACCGATAATCTCACCTTAGACATTATAACATCCTGTATAAGTGAGCATGTAGAGTTAAGCGACATTGATCGCACTCATCGCCTTGGAAGAAGAAAGCTTCAGAACCAGACCCCCAAAAATCCGAAAATAAAACCACGGCCCATCATAATCAAATTTTCAACCTACCGCGCGAGAGCAGAAATATTTCGAAAAAAGAGATCTCTAAAAAAGTCGTTGTAATATTCTGCCTTTTAATTGACACACAGTCGTGCTGAATACTAATAATACACACAGTTACAAACCCACACAGGACATCTTGTTAACATGACTTCCAGAACACATGGAACAGAATTTAATGTGTACTCCGTTATCCAGCCGTTTTGC